CCATATGTCTAGCTCAGACCACTATTGACCTAAGTTGCCATATGTCCAGCTTAGACCACTAGTGACCTAAGATACCATATGTCCAGCTCAGACCACTAGTGACCTGAAGTGCCATATGTCCATCTCAGACCACTAGTGACCTAAGGTACCATATGTCCAGCTCAGACCACTAGTGACCTGAGGTGCCATATGTCCAGCTCAGACCACTAGTGACCTGAGGTGCCATATGTCCATCTCAGACCACTAGTGACCTAAGGTGCCATATGTCCAGCTCAGACCACTAGTGACCTAAGGTACCATATGTCCAGCTCAGGCCACTAGTGACCTTAGGTACCATATGTCCAGCTTAGATCAGTAGTTACCTTTTGGACCAGATGGTCAATGGACACAGTTAATATTTTTCCTGAGACAAAAACCTTAGATCTTTGTCAGAGGGTTTGAAGTGAGAGTCTAGAGTTGCTGTAATTTCATGTTTTTTTTTTTTTCGAAAAGCAATATTTTTTGTGGTCACTCGATTTTGCATAAGATTATAGAGCTTGATAATTCCACTATTATGTCTATTAAAACTTGTGTGATTCATAGACACATTTTTTAATGGATTTCTCAATATCAGTGAAAATAAAATTAGCACTAATATTAAACTAAAGATTTGAACTTAATACATTATCATCCTTCCCTGGTAGATTTATGACTGCTGGTATTAAATGCATTCATTCTCATTTTCTCCGTTACAGAGTTTGTTATTATGATGAATCCATATACAGATGTCGCAGAGATGGTTTTACAGAAGTTCATAGATTTAATTTCCTCGGATAAGCTGTATCAGGTGTAACAGACCAGAACCTAGAAATATGTGTAGACCTCTATTTATCACTTATTGAGTGGTAAATTCTGAAAAAAAAGGATTTTATTTGAATGAATCTAGAATGTAGGTAGAACGTAGGGTACACCATATTGATTTCATGATTAGTGAAATGTGATGTTGAAGTCTGTCATACAGAGCATTATATCCAGAAATTTAGACTGATATAGGGCAAATTGGGCAGCGATATATTAAAAAAAATGATCCAGTATTTAAGTGTCTCATCGTTTAATTTAGTAAATATCAGTGGTTTGTATCTGTTGATGTTTTTAATATTAATGTGTTCTAATAAAAGAAGGTTTAACATAACAGACAGTGTGTGACGAATATGTTCATAAACAAATTAACTCTATGGTAAATAAACAAGACGTGTTCAGGTGAAAGGCTGCAATACTATCCTGTAGGTAAGGATAAGTTTGTATGATAAAACACACCTAAATTCAGTAGTAAACAAACAAGACATGTTTAGGTGAAAAGGCTGCAATACTATCCTGTATGTAAGGATAAGTTTGTACAGTAAAACACACCTAATAATGTTACCCAGGAACAGCTATTGTCAATGTCTAGTAAATTATTTAGCCCCTGGTCCAACACTGTTTTGGTTTTGAAACGAGCCCTGTATGGATTTGCCAATATTATAGATTTTCTACATCTCCACCTTAGTGCTTTAGTAGCTGTGTCGTTGTGGTTGTGGGTGAGTGGATCAGGCTGCTTATAGTGAGAACATCACTCCCTGTCACAGCTGTTTGTAACACTGGACTTTTGTCACTTGTTCTCCAGTCAATCTCCCTTATCACATTCCTTTAGACAAGGTAAGATTCATTCATTAATACCCACTTTATCAAAAGTCTTCTATCTCATTCTCATACTTATAATTTCTGCTGTGTTGGTCAGTCAACCTTTAACTAATTATGTGTGTAGACTGTCTCAGGTTCACAAAGGTGTAGGTTCAACTTTGGATGTTAAAGGTTGCAGGAAGGAGAACATTATTATTAGATTTTTCAATATTGATTTTCGTGATGCTATCTTCAGGCATATATTATGACCAATGAACCTGCTGAAGTAGGGGAAGCCATCTTTGATTTCAGACTGTTAGCTGTGTACAGTTTAAGCGTGTTAACTTCTATACAGCCTTTACGAGTCTGTGGCTGTGGTTGCAGTGGTGCTAGATAGGAAGCTGTTTCTGTTCTGTGGATACTTTTGGGTATAAACAGGGCTGTTGTGGACCCATAGTGATTTCCTCCTGTTACCTGTCTCTTCTCTTAATGGCCCTCCTACCACAGCCGGGTGATGCCACGGTAATTCTTCTATATATCTTTTCTACCAATATTGCCATGGTGATGTACTGTTGCTCTTAATTAATTATCAACTAATTTCTTGTTGCTTTCCTCATTGATATAGACAAAATTCTCTACAATATCTGTCTGTTTAACTGGTCACAGCATCCAACACATCAAAATTCTCTACAATTTCTGTCTGTTTAACTGGTCACAGCATCCAACACATCAAAATTCTCTACAATTTCTGTCTATTTAAATGATGACATTTTGGCTATAATTTCCAGTTATAGGTAACTCTATATATAATCAACCCTGGGGGTCAGAGAATGACTGTTGACTCATTGAATGTTAAGAGATACACTTACTTATTTCTAGATAATTCTGTATCTTTTGTGGGTAATTCTAGAGATATATTTACTTGACATGGACTTAATTAAAGGTTTGGTGTATATAAGTTTATGACATTTGATTTTATGATAATAATGAAGAAGGTTTGGTTAAAAAGGTTTTTTTTTCTTTGATAGGTTGAAGACATTCCTGTTTAACAGCGTTGTTGTGATAGAGATCTTTTAAACATCCAGTTAGACAAAAACTGTATGCCACATTACTGTTCCTGTATTATACTGATTGTACACCTGTTAGACTTGTTTAGAACTCATTCATCTACAGTACATCATTTTAAAATTTGCTGAGTACACACATTTGTTGCGGCAGCACTACAGCTAATGAATTTTAATCTGCAAAGTGATTTCGTCATTATATATTTTTTTCATATCTTCACAGTATTAACAAAATCATCCTTTTTACCCAAATGTAAAGGCAGATCTGACAAGATAAATAGAGTTGAAAATTGATTTTTTTTCTCTTTCCTTAAAGTGTTTCGTATAATTGATACTAATGATATAGAAATCAATATCAAGTATATCTATAAATAGCTTATACCTCTTTATGGGGAGATCTATTACATCTATATGATACAATGTAATACTGACTAGTATGTCTATAAATAGCGTATACCTCTTTGTGGGGGGATCTATTACATCTATATAATACAATGTAATACTGACTAGTATGTCTATAAATAGCTTATACTTCTTTGTTGGGGGATCTATTACATCTACATAATACAATGTAGTACTGACTAGTATGTATATAAATAGCTTATACTTCTTTGTGGGGGGTCTATTACATCTATATAATGCAATGTTATACTGACTAGTATGTATATAAATAGCTTATACTTCTTTGTGGGGGGATCTATAACATCTATATAATACAATGTAATACTGACTAGTATGTCTATAAATAGCTTATACTTCTTTGTGGGGGGTCTATTACATCTATATAATACAATGTTATACTGAGTAGTATGTATATAAATAGCTTATACTTCTTTGTGGGGGATCTATTACATCTATATAATACAATGTAATACTGACTAGTATGTATATAAATAGCTTATACTTCTTTGTGGGGGGATCTATTACATCTATATAATACAATGTAATACTGACTAGTATTAATTAACTGATTTTAGAATGCTAACAATTGATTTAATCTATAATGAGATTTGACCACTTGTCAGTCATTTAGGCTTTAGAATTTTTTTTAATTTTTTTTTTTTCGTAATTTTTTTATTTATCAAAATTTTGTATAGTTCATAAAAATAACAAGACAATATTTAAAGCACACATACCAACATTCACACATAATCTTTAAACCTGCAAAAGCCATTTAGTAAGAAAAAGTATCTCAAAAGTGATAAGGATTTTACTCAGAAATGAGGTTCATTAAAAATATGTCCGTGTTTTAGATCAGGAAGCAGCAGTCTTAAACAATTGTATGATGTTGTAACATTTATCATCCCTTAGTCTGATGTTTGTTTGTTTTTTATTTTCATCCTGTGAACACAACACAAATTGTGTGGAGGTGAGGTCTCCTAGTAGGATGTGGCCCCTGGTGGCTACATTAATGAACAGTATATATGAAACCTTACCATAGACCATGCTAAGCAATAGGGTAAATATCTTAAACAAGGACACAACCCGCACAGAGTGGTCTGTCTCATGTGGAACTCATACTAGCCCTCAGTCAAGGGTTTCATAAAAGATAGATGTTGCCTGAATTTAAATCAGGAGACGTCAGGAAATGATTGTTGCCCAGTAACTTGCTTAAAAAGAAGGGCTTTGAAATTAGTTCAGATGAATGACCTCCTGCCTGCTTTCAAGTTTATTGTCAGATTGAAATTTATTTTATCAATTTTTTTTAATAAAGAAGGTAGAGATGTTCGATTTGTTACACACTTGGGTTTAAAAAAAATTGACCATCAGTCACCAAATCAAATACATTTAAAGGAAACTTAGAATGTCTGTTTGTCCACTATGATACAAGTATCAGGCTGTCACCCAACACAACATTAGGCTTAAAATCATTCTTCACTCAGTTACAAGAGCATCACCCCTTAGGATAGCTCTGAATAGTTTTTTCTGGGGCAATACACAAATAAACCGAAACACAAACTTACATAATAGCAATAGAAAGTATATCAAGACTACATACTGAACCCCTGTCTCCTGCCAATTGGGCAGAATAACAAGTTCTGCTTAAATGATTTGAACTCTAAAACTTGAGCCTCCTACAGAATCTGTTTTGCTGATGTAAGTTGTGAATTAGAAAGACCATGCTTTGGACTTATATTATCTAGTCACAAATGATGACTTCAAATGCTATAATGTTGGAATGCTTTATTGTATTGAAATGTCTTGTAATCTAAGATTAAATATTTATATCTTGTCAGGGGCTTCATGTATTACTACTGTATACAATTCATTTCATATTTTGTTTTCCTTTCATTACAGATGGCTTCAGCAAATGATTCAAAATGGCAGAAAGATGCCGCAGACCAGAACTTTGACTATATGTTCAAACTACTTATTATCGGGAACAGTAGTGTGGGTAAAACATCGTTTTTGTTTAGATACGCCGATGACTCTTTCACCTCCGCATTTGTTAGCACAGTGGGCATAGATTTCAAAGTAAAAACAGTGTTTCGCCAGGACAAAAGAGTAAAGTTACAAATTTGGGTAAGTACAAGATTCTTTTTCTAAACTGTTTTTTTTTTGTTGCTGTGTATTTCTATTTTTTTTGTAATTGACTTCAAATTAAACCTTCAAACTTTTAGCCCACCATCCTCAATCAGATGGTAGGCTATTCAAATTGCTCTGCATCTGTGGTCTGTCTGTGGTCCGTCTGTCCGTAAATAATTGTTGTTGTACAGAATGGATCTTTCTCAAACTGCATATGAAGGTTTCCCTTGGTATCTAGTTGTGCCAGTTTGATTTTGGGTCTGATGAGAAAAACAAAATGGCCGAAAGGTGGCCATGTACTGTAAAGATCCTTCTCAAATTTCATGTATAGGTTCCTCATGGTCCCTAGTAGTGCCTGTATGAGTGATCAGAAAAATGGTTGACAAGCAGCCATCTTTGGAGTTTGCCTAGTAAACATTGTTCACCCTATTTCTTAAGAAGTACTGAATGGTTATCTCTCAAATTTCATATGTATGTTCCCTTTGATATCTCCATGTGCCAGTTTGATGTTGAGACTGATCAGAAGATACAAAATGGCTACCATTTAGCCATTTTGGATTTGGCAGCTTAAGATCATCATTGCAATTTCTGCAAAGGAATGTTCAAATTTTTTATCATTAAGAGCAAAAACAGAGAAGAGAAAAAAAGGGAAAAGATCCAACTTTCTAAGAATAAATAAAGATCAAACAATGATAGGCACCAAGATCCCTCAGGGATCTCTTGTTGAAATGTACAATGAAATTTCATAAAGTTGAACATATTTTGTCAGGAAATCCTATGTTAGATTTATTAATATTTAATGGATCAAAGATTGCTGTAATTTGATTTGCTGACTGTAAATAGATGATATATTTTTTGACAAAATGATTGGTCCGTATTGATGAATGTCTACAAGGGCAGCAGCAATCTGATAGGAGGATTAATTCAGATGGTTTACTTTGAAAGAATGAAATGATCTATGTTACACATACTGAAGATTTTATCTACTTTGCATAATTTTCTTTCAAAGTTTTTTATATTAAGAATAAGATTTCTAGGAAAAATTCAGTTGTTTAAACCTATAAATTCCTGACTAAATGTGATGACCATAGTCACAAAGCTTAACCAAGGAGGATAGAAATACACTGTTATCATATTAGAATAGCATGTTAATATTTCTCTTTAATCATGTCTTATCTGCTATCATGCTACCAAAACCGGTATCAGTTTTAATGCTAGTGGAATTCTTATTCTCATGATATAACATATCAAAGATCACTATTAGGTACCATGGTTTATCATAAGTAGATCAGTGGGAATTAGTTGGCCAGAAATGAGACAGGCTTTTCACCTATACACAGCTGCTTACCTAGAGGTCAATCATGTCCACAAACATGACAGCAAACCCTTTAAGCAATCTATATGTTGTATATCTGGTCTCTAGACTGCACAATTTCCGTAATTTATTTATGTTACCCGAAAAAGAATTTTCTTAATTTGATCCTGTTCTAAAACCGTAAGTTGAAATTTGTTACAATATATTTCTACTACTATCAATATCAATAGAATGCAATATGCAAATAACCAAACATCGCCACCCGGTATCTCTGAGTTACTGAAAAGAAGATTTTAACAAAATTGATCCCTCTGACCTTAAACATCAGTCAAGGTCATTCATGTTATAAAACCTGATAGCTAACGACTGGGACATCTTGCATGTGAAATATCAAGGCTGTAGACCTTGCAGAACTTATGAAGAAATTTTTCAAAGTTTGTTACCCAAAGTAGCATTTTTCAAATTTTATCAAAAACTGGAAGTTAAATTTTCAGACAAAAAGTTATAAATATGTTTAATAGCAATTAATCACAGCATGCTACTGATGAAACATTATTACCTTGTGCCTCTTGGTTATTGAAAAAATGCTATTGAAATATTTTCAAATAATTGTATCCTGTGATCTGGAAAATGGGTCAAGGATAGTCAATGACCAGAGCTTCCTAAGTATGAAATGTCTAGATCCTAGACCTTGCAGAATTTGAGAAGTTTTTCAAAGTTTGTTACCCAAAATAGCAATTTTCAACTTTGACCCCTATGGAGAATCGGAAGTTAAATTTCCAGACTGAGTTTTACAATACATTCAATAGCAATTGATCACAGCATGCTAATGGCAAAATTTCATCACCGTGTGGGTCTTGGTTATTGAGAAATTGGTATTTAAAGATTTTCAAATAATTGTAACCTGTGACATCAAAAATAGTCCAAGGTCATTTATATTAACCAACCTTATAGATTATAACTAGAAGATCCTATATATAAAGTATCCATGCTCTAGATTGTGCAAAACGTGAAAAGGAGTTTATCAAAGTTTGTTTCCCAACAAAGCAATATTCAAATTTGACCCCTACCTAGAACTGAAAGTTGAATTTTCAGACAAGGTTTTATAAGGTTATTGTTTTTTTCAGTCTCATCATAACTTCAACCACAGTTGCCATTTTGTAACATGATTATATAACTGTACAGAACTTGCTATTTATGAGTTTCTGATATTTTTAAGGAAAGTTCAAAATGTGAATTCATCAGATTATACATAGAAATATATGTAATTGATTCAGGAATAAAATAGATTTTAAGACAAAAATGAAGGCATCAAATTCATTGTAATGACATTCTGCATGGACCTATAGATGGAATTTTCAATATAAAATTTTTTTTTTTTTTTTTTTTAAATTGTAACCTCTAATAGCAAGTTTTTTTATTTGACATTTTTTTCATTAACATGCACATGCATTGGGGAAAATTTAGCCTTGTAGGTTCTTTACAAATGATATGATTGTAGGAATACTGAAAAATGAACAGTTTTTGAGTTATTATTTCTAGATTTTGACCTATGATATGGAGGGCATATGATTTTTGACCTATTTTTTGAAAAGTTTAATGACATGTCTTATTTCATACTGTTGCCATATATTTTACCAGTTAAAAGATTAGGAGGTCACAAAAAACAAAATAACAATAAGGAACTTAACAATAGGTCTTTTTACCAGTTGGTGAAATACCCTGATTATGATGTTATTATTATCATGATATTATTGGTATCTCTATAATAATTATTATACTATCAGTATCTATTATGATATCATCAATATCTCTCTTATTATTTTAGTATCATTATCTCAATTATTGAGCTATAAAATTTATAGTTTAATCAATACACAGCTCATAACAAGAGTTTCCCTAATATAACTGTGATATTATCAGTAACTCCATTGTAATTGTGATATTATCAGTAACTCCATTGTAATTGTGATATTATCAGTATCTCAGTTATTGAGCTTTGAAATTCATAGTTCAATCAATACACAGTTCATAACAAAGAGTTTTCCTGCTCTATTAATTGTATGGAAAGTAGTTTTTTAAGATGCATTGTCATTGGGTTGGAAATAGAATTAAAACATGGAGCTGCTTAATTCCTTTTGGTGATGGTACCTTGGAACAACAGAATATCGGTCTTTAAATGTGTTCTCAGTTCTACAGGAAGAGATCTACGTATTGATCGGGTCTCTGTGGGCGATGTAGCAGTTGTTTGAACCAATCCCAACTTTTGCATGACTGGATCAATCCTAACTCTTTCAGCTCAACCCGTCGTGCTGACATAAACCTGCTGTAACATGTACTGAAATAGCATTGTAGGTTTCTATACGTCTACTCTCCACAGTAAAAATATCTCTCACCCGCTACAACAAAGGACATCATCAAATAAAACCATTCTAAAGAGGAAATTAACCTAGCACTGATCATGATCAAATGTGGTGCTAATTAATACAAATTTTAGCCATTATTGGTGATTCTAACACCTACCTCCCTGATTACCTCCAAGAGGTGACATGGCCTCTAATTGGTCTCATTGTAGGGGGTAAAATGTAGCTCTATAGTCACTGCTGAATGCTGATAATGAATATAGAAATTAGGGTTTATGTATAGCCCTGTCCATGTGGTATCTGTGGGTATAATGAATAAAACGCTCGATAAAAACAGCTTTCTGTCTTATTATTTATCAATTTCTCAGTGCCCCTCCATTTCTCTTTCTGTGTCTTGGTCCCTCTAGTTCTTCTGCTTTGTTTCTGGTCTCTCAGTGCCTTTTTTCTGATCTCTCAGTGCCTTTGTTTTTGGTCTCTCAGTGCCTCAGTGCCTTTGTTTCTGGTCTCTCAGTGCCTTTGTTTCTGATCTCTCAGTGCCTTTGTTTCTGATCTCTCAGTGCCTCAGTGCCTTTGTTTCTGGTCACTCAGTGCCTTTGTTTCTGGTCTCTCAGTGTGTTTGTTTCTGGTTACTCAGTGCCTATCTTTCTGGTCTCTCAGTGCCTCAGTGCCTTTGTTTCTGGTCTCTCAGTGCCTTTGTTTCTGGTCTCTCAGTGCCTCGGTGCCTTTGTTTCTGGTCACTCGGTGCTTTTCTTTCTGGTCACTCAGTGCCTTTGTTTCTCGTCTCTCAGTGTCTCAGTGCCTTTGTTTCTGGTCTCTCAGTGCCTCAGTGCCTTTGTTTCTGGTCACTCAGTGCCTTTGTTTCTCGTCTCTCAGTGTCTCAGTGCCTTTGTTTCTGGTCTCTCAGTGCCTCAGTGCCTTTGTTTCTGGTCACTCAGTGCCTTTGTTTCTCGTCTCTCAGTGTCTCAGTGCCTTTGTTTCTGGTCACTCAGTGCCTTTGTTTCTGGTCTCTCAGTGTCTTTGTTTCTGGTCTCTCAGTGCGTTTGTTTCTGGTCTCTCAGTGCCTTTGTTTCTGGTCTCCCAGTGCCTCAGTGCCTTTGTTTATGGTCTCTCAGTGCCTCAGTGCCTTTGTTTCTGGTCTCTCAGTGCTTTTCTTTCTGGTCTCTCAGTGCCTTTGTTTCTGGTCTCTCAGTGCCTTTGTTTCTGGTCTCTCAGTGCCTCAGTGCCTTTGTTTCTGGTCACTCAGTGCCTTTGTTTCTGGTCTCTCAGTGCGTTTGTTTCTGGTCTCTCAGTGTGTTTGTTTCTGGTCTCTCAGTGTGTTT